CACCTGCAGGAGCTGCCCTGACACGATGACCTTGGGCATCTTTGAACCGTTCATCACCGGTATCTCTGTAGTATAGCAAGAATTAGCTGACTGCGGTGACTACGCAACGAGGTGGTTCGTGAGCCGGCCGCTGGTAACGAATCCGAGCAGTAGATTAAGGAGTTTAAGGTACGTAGTGCGCGCACCCAGCCACCGACTACCCTGATGTACTGTTGGCAAAAGGTTCGAGGGGGGACGGGCATGATACGGCAACGTCACATGAAAGCAGAGACAGTCCAACTTAGTGCTGTGCTATCTCCTCGCCATTCTGGATAGAGCCGACATGATCCTAATTGCACGCTGCTAAAAACCTTGGAGAATAAAGCATGACACCCGTCTCAGTATGGAGTATACTCATTTGCCGTAGATGGAAATGTCGGGAGCTCAGTTAGCGTATGTGGTCGTTGGTTTGTCCGCTGAGCTGCGGATATTTGATTGCAAACGTTTCATCACCAATCGAAGTGCCATCATCTCTAGTGCGTTGTTTGGAAGTGTAGCGAAGCGTAACGATGGGTCGGTGGTTGTGAGTTGAGTAGTGTGGGTACGTCTGCTGACCAGGGCTGACCTTCCATCATGATTAGTCGTTCGGTCGGTCGGTCTCATTGGTTGCTCTGTTATCCTCTGTCCTGATTGATCGATGATCAGGTGAATTTTGGCCTCCCCTGCTCTCGTACTGTGGTAGATGCTGGCGTGACCTCTGTCCTTGACCCCTCTGGATTCCGGCTTGTGACTGCTGCTGATCCGACTCCATGGTATTCATTTTTTGTTTGTTTGTGACTCCGGTATTCGGCTCTTCTTAAGTATTCCAGTTGAGTATTGGTGCTTTGCACGTAGTGGTGCGTAAATTGGACACAGTTCAATGCATCGGTTGTTTGAGTCCGCCGTGAAGTACCATGCTCGTAAAAATTCCTCATATCTTATCCGGACTACCTAGCCGTTGTTCGTTGGGCTTATATCAGGTGAGGTCTGAAGAAGACGTTGTAATGATGGTGACGTATCACCAACACATAATGCTCACATGTGTCTATTCCAATACTGACTAAAGATGTGGATATCTTCTCCTTGTTCGTTTCGCCTAAGGATATAGAATGTCTCCGTACTGAGTTCCTATCCTTCCCTTTTCTTTCGGCTCATTGCTAAGGCTTCCTTTCCTCATATTTGCATTGTAGTTAAGCACCAATATATATTACTAGTATATCGCTGTCGATGATGATGACGAATGAAAGTCAATAAAAAAAACTTTCAGGTTACCTTGAGCAGATGACTACGAAACAGATGCACGTGATCAAAGTTAGCACTACCGCATCATGAAGCGAATGTGTTCCTACCTATCAGCTAATCACAGTCAGTGTTTTATTCGTTTTGTAGAATAGCTAAAACTCCAGCTGGCTTGTCCAAATTGTTTTATTCGTGGTGTAAGCAAAGCATGGTTGAATCATTTCCAACGGCGAACAGCTGAAAGGAATTAGCCCTCCCCAGATGCTCTCATTTAGATAGTAATTTGGTTTTCATGGGGGACCGAACCGAATCCAGCTGAATCTGTGAAGGTTTATGAAGGTTTTCTTCGAAGAGTTTTCAGCAACTTCATCAGTAGCGTACTGTGTCCAAAACAGGATTTTTCGTATAAATAATGAACATTCGTTTAACAGGGACTCAAATGAAACCCAACTGAGTTTTTTGTCTAGGGTATTTTTCAATCAACTATGCTGCGCAAAGACTTCCTCATGTCTCACTCGACACAATCTTACGCGTGTCGATTTTTTTCCTCCTACGACACTACTGAGATGAATGAAGACAGTGGACTATTTATGGCCGGTTTTGTCGTTCATCAATGATGCCTAGTTCCCTAATTCTCAGCACTTCTCAATGTGGGAACAATAAAGCTAGATCTTAACATAGGGCCAAAAATCACCATTCAAGTGAATTTCTGCTGAATCTCACGAATCAACACTAAGTTAATTTGCAAGTAAATCATCATCGGGTACTACCTGACAAGCACCATTATAGGTGTAACCTGTAGTGAGCTGTTCAGAGTTTTCATCAACCTCATATGTATTATGGATGCATACTTTGATACCTTGGTTTTCATAAATGAGGGGGAATATTTGCAGCAAATTCATTTGAAGATTTAGCCAGAGATTCATTTGAATCTCCTGTTAACACCAAGCTGAGCAGCAAGTGAGTGTATTTCATCCACACATACTTGTCCACACGAAGCAACGTGTTTTGGTTAAACTCGGACTTGGTAAGCATTCAACCACATGCACTTTGATCTCTCCATCAGCCGCACACATGAACACCCACATACGCACACTTGTTACAAAACAGCAAAAAAGCACGATGCCGCGGCATGTTGTTATTTTTCTTCAACTACTTTTGCATCATTGTTTTCAATCGACTGTATTGATCCATCATAATGTTTTTGTGGATGTGAGTGTGAGTGGAAGCCAGCAAGCAGTTGTTGTCGAAAACCTACGTGTTTTGCAGTGAAAACATGGAACGTGAGAAATCAGCTGTTACTTGTTTGTTTGCATGAGAACAACCAAACTTGTCAACCAAACGTGCTTTCAAACGCTGACATGCTGATAATCATTTGTAAAATTGTCGGATTTCCATGATCTGGATGAACTCATAGTTAATTTAGAAGATCCTAATCATGTGTGATAAGAAATCAGTCCAACTGACATAGTAGCCCTCTTGGATAAGTAAACCATCGAAGTGCCAATGCTAGAAATTAGCGGTGGTCGAGAGATGGTGACAAACCTGTATTGCGAACTTACCATGTTTAAAAACGACTTCCATCGGTTTTGTTACATCTCACAAATTGAAAGTGTTTCTGCATGTTCATTTACTCTCTGAAATTGAAGAAAGCATGCAGACTTTATAAACTACCCTCATTTGAACACTAATTTGGTATTAACGCGTGGCCCGACTAAGTATTGCATAAAATACGAGGCGGCGTGTGTACAGCACATTCAGTTGAAGACCATGAACAAGAGAAGCAGCTGTGATTCGGTCCAGTGGCCCGTTAGAGCCAAATTAGTGCGCGAATGAGTGTAGTTAACAAGTTTCGAGCAATTTGGGTTCAAGAACATGAGATTGACGAAAACGTAGGCCTGCCTTGTGAGGCCCAACGAGAGTTTTGGCAATCTGAGTACCGTTACTTCAAGAATACGTAGATCTCAAGTAATGTACTCTCAGTACATCATCACTACTTATAACCAATCCAGTGTCATTTAATGGACGCACAATCGACGGCTCCACTAGCTCTCCCGTTATACGATCACGTTGTGTATATCCCAACCCCAAATCATGCTCAGTTCCTCTCAGGAAGCACACACTTTTGTGTCTGTTATCGTGAAACTGGTATGGCCGTAGCAGCCGCACTCATGCATCACCGATCTTCATTCCCACGTACGTCATGTAGTGCCAACTGTTACAACTGGGAGGTGATAAAGTCGGTAATTTTCTCACTGTACAGCTATTCCCAGCTATACGTTTAACCATACTTGTTGGGTCGTATGGCTTGACTTGGTCCACACATTAAACACAGATGACGCAGTTCGGCATAGAGAATCCCTAGAATGATTATCCCATATTATCCGTGCAAATCTCAACTAGTTTCTCCATTATTAAATAAGTAGCAGTGATTACAAAGTTGAGTAGGAGTAGTGAGTAATGTTTACATAAATCTGTGAAAATGGGTGCGTTTTTGTTTTTTTGGTTACACAAATACGGTTGTTTCACCATCGTGGTATCATAATTTAAACTCCTCATATGGTCCTCCCATTTACCGGCACTCGTTTTTCGAAAAGTTAAGTGATGACCTTATAACGGTATTCAGTTTGTTTCGCAGCCATTTATTGGACTACAGTAATTTTCACGGAGACGACCTTTTCCGTCCACTGTTTTTGACCGATCCCATCAGTTGCCGCATTACATTGGCCTATCGTCAGCACTTGGTAACGCTTCGATCACCCCATTAATATTCCAAAAACAAGTGACTGATTGGCAGGTGAACGATACGTTTTGAATGAGACTACTTTACTAGTTAATTGTAACTTTTCCGCAGTATTACAATTATTTCAAATTTTCGAGTCAATATTTCGTCCTCTTAGTCAGGAATACCTATCCTGGAAAGCTGCAGTACTGTTGGGAAAATATTCGACAAGGTGTGTGAACCTTTCTCCTTATTATCTTATCTATCCAGTCAACACTGGACTATTCTTTTGTGAACCATTTGAGTGAGCGGTGGTTACCGCAATATCCACTCAGTCGAACTTTATAACTATTCTCCCGTAGCCTAACGGTAGACGGTTCCACTTCTTATCCAGAAGACTTCATTTCAAATCCTTTTATGAGTTTGTTTCATGCTCGAGACTGACGATCCACAAGAAAGTAGAAGGGCTGTAAATTGCTCATTGCTTTTTTCACTAGGGATTACATCTGCTCTTAGACCGAATCCCTGGTTGTAAAATATCACTGCTAATTTTCTGTGTAGACGGGCTTTGTGTTAAGCGGTTACAAAGAACCCTGTAGCTCTTTGAAAGATTCCGCATACCAAGTAAGAAGGCAGTATTTACTTAAGATGCACCATGGACACACTCGCCTGGAACCCAGCTGAATCAACTGAAACAACTGAATGTGCTTCACCAGGTCGCCTTATGTTTCAGTCGCCAGGATATTCGAATGAGTGTATTTCGCTAATTTCGTGCAATTTAGTTTCGAGTAGAACATAAAGTTGACGGAAACTCGCGGACTGCGCCTACCTGATGAGACCCAAGAAGGGCGAAACCGGTCGTGGACTGTCGAAGAATTCAGCATTGTTTGTCCTTTCTTCGACGGATCATCTTTACACACGTGTTTTCACATCAGACATTCTTACATATGTTGCTATTCATCTTTTTCGACTGAAACTGTTCGTGATGCGCCCTTGAGTACAAAGCTTTCCTCATTTTATCTAATATTCTTCTGTACACTCTTCCACATCTATCACCTGGATGCACTTTTTATGTTTACGACCATGTTCCTTAAAAATAAACGACAATGTATAAGTACATGGGTAAATGTGATTAGGTGTTTGGTGGATTCATTGAAGAACTTCGTGTTTTTTTTTGTAAGACTAGGCCACCATTCTCTGTGAACCGTGAGCGGTTTCACGAGTCCTCAGGGGAATCGTTTGATGTAGCACAAAGCATCGATTGAGGCAACAGAAGAGTTTAGAAAATAACACCGGGTCTGCGTTTCTGGTTCCGCTTCTCTAAAAATCACTGACTAAATGCACACACAGAGCAGGATCTAAGAGTGGTAAACATTGGATTGATAAGGAAACTGAACACAGGGTTTCTCAAGTTTGGATTTCAGTTGTTGGAGTAATGATTTGAAACCCTTTGAAATACAGGGCACCAGTTGGCTGCCTGCTTAATCCTCCACTGGCAACTGCTGCAGAAGACAAGCGCAGATCGAACAGCTTACCCTTTGGGGAATACACTTAATGTGCACTTCCATTTGGCAGCCTTGCTTGCTCGAAATCCGGTCCATATGTTTTCTTGCGTAAAGTAATTTACACAAGTGGTGAGGTAAAACAACAGTTATCAGAGATGCCGGAGAAAACTGGGACGATGGTGCATCAGCATAGGAGAAGTGACAAGTGAGTTGTCCAACATCCATATTAATTTGGGGTCGTTACTTCGTAGTTGTTTTATACTCTATGGAGCTAACTTTAGTAGCATTAAGGCCTGTTTGCACTTTGAATTTGCCTACATTTAGGGTGGTATTTAGCATTCATATACAAAAACGAAAGGCCTTTCCTCACTGAAATCGCACTAATTCAGCCGTTCCCAAGTTAACCCTCACTCTGACATGTCTGTTAATGTACCTAGTTTACTAAGCAAGCACCATTGGTCATCAATACTTGAACACAAGGGAAGAAAATATTCCCCCGAAGCACAAGTCCGTTTCCCCCGAATTTTATCTACATTTTCAATTTCGATAACAGGGCCAGATACAAAGAACTCTATTCGAAGGCTGGTCGCAAGCTCGACGGTAAACCACGATGTTCTCGATTCAGTTTGAATGCGATAAACATCGGTTAGTCTCCGGGATCGCCACCAAAAAGCATGAATATCATATCTGCGCCCCCAGAAACGTTCAAGCCAACGTAATTTAACCCTAAATTTGTAAAAATAAGCAGTCTAACAGTATCGCCTCATTAGCTACCTCTCGCTTAAATAAGAAAGTGGCAGAGTTTGCAGAAATCTCTACTCATTGACGTGTATCTCATCAGAATAATTTTTCTGCAGCACACCGTGGGTAAGTGGTCATGAATTGGGATGGACTATATAACTTTCTAAGTACAAACTTGGAAGACATGACAATAGAAGTACTTCGTCTGGTTCAAATACGGTGCGGAATTTTTCTAGTTTAACTGCTCGTATGCTGATCTACTTTCCAGTGGTCCACCGGTGTTCGTGGAATACTGAATTCTGGAAAAGGTGCTAGCAAACTGCTCACGCACGTTCCTAATGAAAGAATGTGAACGCGATTTGGTTCCCAAATTAAAAGACATGTGAAGTAAACGGGCATAAGTCAGATGTTGAGAATCACCTGCAGAACTACTGAGCGTGGCCCAACTACTCTTCAGTTAACGCAGATATACTGGTGTCTCCCGCTTTCGGTAGGGTAGCAAGGTGGACTGCTACCAGTCAGTAGTACGAACTTTCTCCTGTGATTGGAATAAACCGAGATTATTGGTAAACAGTTGTGCTAATCACAACACCTTATTTTGATAACGGAAGGTGATATCATGCTATTCTCGTCTGGAGGATGACTTTGTGTATGCTACCAATTTCAACCAAAAAAAATGATTATAGCAAGATCAGTGCTAATGAGCAGAGGATTTTGAGACGACCAAACTTTCTGCCAATTGATGACAGTTAAACTTTTTTTAAAATCATGATCATATTCCTAAAGGAACCAACTGAAAGGAATGATCAAAACCTGTATCGTGTTTTTCGGGAAGGGACCAGTCAATAAAGAAAAATTTTCGAGTCAATAGACTACTTTTTATTCCAAGAATTGTGAATGGAGGGGGACAAACATCCTTTGAATTACCTGGTTCTAATGTTTCCGCAGCATGCAGTTACGGAGTACCAGCCGATGCTCATTCAAAGTTTGCAATTGTGAAACCCCTGGTTGCCATATACGAACGAAAATCGGAGCACACGTGTTCCAAATCCATTCTAGTTCCATATTTTAATTAGCCTGTCATTTATCTCACTGCTGTTCAAACAAACGATGAATTTGTCGTGCACATGCGCTACACTGGAAAAAGCTGTTGTCAATCCTATTGTAAGGTACACTTGATTGTTATGTCTTATTTGTCGTGCTTGTAACTTGGAACCCGGTATGGCTGCATGCAGAGAGAATTAAATTTACGTCAACTGAGCGTTGTCATTTTAGAACACAGAATAAAATATTACATTCAACAAGCTTTCATAGAGTTTTTGCACAGTGGGTATTTTCGTGAGACAAACGAGTGTTTATTGATAATATGTAGTTGCTTCGTTAAATGTTTGGAGAGTAACACTCAAACCGTAACTATGGTGGTTTTCCTTCAAGAAAAAACTTTCAAAAGGGGACCATTTTGATAAGCAGTCCATAATACCGTTCCTAATCACCTGCGGCCTAGTTTGCAGCCCTCCTTCCGGAAGACAGGACGTCAAGAGCCAAAGGTTTGACGTCCATTTTTCGAGGACATCACTGTAGTTAACCACACAGACTAACAGTTAGATGCTGTTGTTGGACACATGCACCAAGTGCGCATAATTTCACTTACACACTTTGATGGGGAAGTTGGATATATGATACTTAGCCTGGTGTCGATAGATCAAAAGTGCACCACTTTGGTTAGCGGCTGCACACCGTCAACCCATAGAGCTGCTACAAACAACCGGGATACTTGTTAATTTTTCTCGAAGATAATTCTTCTGCTGGCGTTCTTGGTCTTTTCTTTAAAATACCTGACTGTCCATGAGGATAGTTGGACGGTTAGGGCGAACAAACAGACTTGAACTTGCGATCTAAATGTCCAAAGCATTAATTAGGATGTAAAACGGATTAGGAACCTACTCACTTCAGAATTTACCAGAGGATTCTTTGGAATTTATACTCTGCTAATACCTGCTTACAATCAAAAGTTGACTGGGACCAAAATGTGATGAATAGGTGCAGAAAGTATTAGCAACGTTTTGGAATGTAGGTAGCTCGGGTGCGCTGTTTGGTTGTTGGTCTGTTCACCGAGCTTGGCAGTTGGATTGCAAACGTTTCATCACCAATCGAGGTGACATCGTCAGTGCAGGGCTGAGTGCACTGACGTTGTCACCTCGATTGGTGATGAAACGCTTGCAATCCAACTACCAAGCTCGGCGAACAGACCAACAAACAGAGGTGCAGAAAGTATATCTGTGTCTACTTGGACGTTAACCGTTGATGTGGAACGTGAACCATAACTCAATTTTCATAAAGGAAACTACTCACAAGGTTGCTGAAAACTCTTCGACCTTGTGAGTAGTTTCCTTTATGAAAATATACTGCGATATCTTGAATATCGTGCCAACTGAATCATGAGGCGGCCGGTGTGCAGCACATTCAGTTGTAGAATATCATAAATGAGGGATTCAGTTGAGTCTCTCGTGAAAACCAAATCGAGTTGCAAACAAGTGTGTTTCTCGATAACTCAATTTTCTTGATGTCGACGGGGCCATAAATCGAGAACTCCATAGAAAGCAGACATATCATTTAAGTCAGTTTGGTAGATCCCTAACATGAAAAGTTAGTGAACGTAAACATCAACCTGATGTCGCTAAATTATGTTCCTCCAACTCTCTACAGGAGGAAGGAAGATCTATGAAACAGTTCTTGAAAAAAAACGCCATCCCGGACAGATCGTGTATTTTTAAAAAAAACAGGAGATGAAGGAACTAGTAGTTGAGGAAGGGTTTTCTACACAGGGAGTTTATTCAGCCGTGCCTCCATCTTAGAAATAATTATCAGAACGTCAAAGAATCGTACAACTATGACTAAGTGTTGTTTGAGTGAGGCCTATAACAGCTGCGAATGCCCGACATCTGCGAAAAGCTGACAGCGGAAAGGCGCACAGACTCAGAGTTAGATACCGGATAGTTCTGAAGCGATCAAGAAAGGCGTGATCCACACTGATGTTTGAGGTTATCAAAACTCTGCTACATAGCATAGACCTCTGAGTTTAAAAGAAACATGTTGGAACTTTGATCATATCCTGGCTTACAAACTACCTTATTTCTCCGACCTGGACTCATCTGTATGGAATCAGTCAGACTCAGTGACCCAGTGACCACTAGGAGACCATTGTTGTATCTATTTGTGACGTACTAGCCAAGATTACCGGTTACGGAACGCAGGAATTGACCGATAGCATCGCTCCTTTAGTGTCGTCGACGAATATCTTCAGTTGCTTGAAATATCTAAGTGAAATACAGAACATCGGACATCACAAAACAACCCAGAAGGCAATATTAGATTTACACATAGCCAGACTCAGATGAACGCTGCGTGATAAAGTCGCATATCAGGTGACATTTGAACTGCAGCTGTAAAGAGTGTAAATTTACGAGCACGATAGTCAACCATGTCATCCCAACGCATAGTTCACTGATCGGTTCTCATCATGGAAGACACCGTTTTAAGGGGTTCAAATGTTTTATCTTCCAGCTTTTTAAACACTGGTGAATAACATGATGGTAGGGAAGTCAGTGGATACAGAAGCTAAGACATGACACAGTCGCACTTGTTGACCTACATTAGCTCAATGAGGCTAAATAAGTCTGGAGCTTCGGTCATGAACTAGGGCCGTTTGTTGACCGGTTATTCCGAGTAGGATTGAAGAATAAAGACTGTTCTTACTGGTTTAAGCGATGGGGTGGGAATCTACTGGACCGAACAACTAGATTGAATGAGTGTCTGGAGGTGTAGGGATCTCGGAATAATTGTGGTAGGCTAGCGCTAAGTCCCTTCTCCGTCATTTTTATTATTTTCTTCACAGTAAGGCAATCCAATAAATTATGGCTGTAGGGCAGCAGAGTATCACTGCACATTCTTGTGCTGTGGATGACGATCATGACGATATCATTGAACCAGACGCGAGCAGCGCTCGTAACCCACCACTGAGCTCAAGACATGCTTCTGTGAATCAAAGTGGCCTGGATGCTTTGAATCTCACCTAACTGGATCGGGACGTAGACTTTTCGCTGTGCAACTTTGGACTCAGTGAGAGCATATTTGGATTTTTAAGCTAGAGTAATTTCAGCTTCTGAAACGACATCCACCTCACTGCTTCCTGCTGCAGAAAGCCCTCCTTAGCCTGTTGATCGAGGTTCCTGTGATGTTCATACAACTTTGACAGTTTCACTACTCCCCTTTTCTTAATTCAAAAATATCAGAATTCCTATGTTCCGTCGAATTTGGTCACTTTTCCTCTTGAACAGGTGTGACGCGATGGGAACCAGCAATAGAAACAACAGAGCACAAAGAGAATTCCCAGCGAATAACGTCTTCTTTTTCCATTGTCGAAGTTGGTTTGGCGTTAACACCATGACTTTCCGACAAACAATTCACGCCATTAGTTTAGACATCAAATATTTCCCTCAACTATTGAAAACAAACTGCGGAATAAGACAAATCCATCGTTTAGTTAGAATACACATCCGTTCCTTCAACGAGAGAATCAGACCCGGATATACGGATAATTGGACATGAGTTACAAATGTAGCCAGAAATCATATTATCTATCCTGATACCTACATGGGTGAGACGGTCTAAGGCATTATGGAGGCAGTATGGTAGAAATAAACAAAAGATTGTTCAGTGTCAGAATTCAGAACATCATCATAAGAAAATCGGCATGTGAAGACCAGGTCTTTGTAGCATTCACTTACAAAATCTCCGTGGTACGAACTCACTTCACACAGAACAAGCTTCTGAAGAAATCCTCTAATATGTTTTCACTGTTCAAAAGCGTGTCGGAACTCGTGATTTCGTTGCTCGTGAAGTCTAACATATGTGGTATCAGTCATGCACTGGTCACAGTATAGAATATTTGAAGCTCATTGGTGTTAAAACTATCTTCTCCCTCCCTCCCTCACATGAGCATTGTTTATCAGGCCGATCTTTCTGAAGGCAATAGATGCAGTATAGTGGTGCGCTGGTTTTATTTCACAGCCTGACACGGTGAACCCAATGACCTGGATTGAACAGTTTTTCACTGGCTCCGGTTTGCAGTACCTTTAGCCAGTCCGAAAAAATAGCCTAGCAGTTCACAACTCATTGTTGCCTATTTGTTTGAGCATTGTTTGGTCCTGCCTCGCATAATTGCGCATCGTTTGGTCGGCTGGCTATTGCATCAACCACACACGGCGAACATCGCAGCAAGTATTAGCAACCCTGCTCACCCAACCTTACCACAATCACAACTTACCCAATGTATTTGAGTTGTTCACCGGGGATTGTACGCATTTGAGAAAACACTTACTCACTGGGCTGACCACCATACGTCAGAAAATCCATATTTATAGGGTTTGTCTTATTCTATTCAACGTTGTTACTATTTTATTAAGTAGCCAGCTTGTCGTTATTGAACATGGTCCCCACACAGTGTTATCATGATTTAGCACATGGTACATTTGGGCTTTCCAACTGCTTCGTCATCGTTTGGCTATTCCATTCAGTTAACAAACTATCCTCGGCATGAAGAACACACTGAATTTCTCCCTATTTTAATCCCATCCAAAACGTATATATTGTTTCCATCTGTCATGCATGTAGGATGACTGGACACTGTGAGTTAACCAACACCTATAGGCTGCGCGTCAACAAGCCTGCGGTTGTTGTTTCTTCTATCTCCGTGATGTGCTTTCGGACGATATTTGCTATTGAGGGAGTGATTTGTCAGTTGTTTTGTGTTGACGAGGTCTTCTGGGACTGTGAATGACTCATTGTGGTCCCTACCCTATTTCCACATGTTCCACTCATTCAGGCTGTCGTGGAGGTAAAAACAGTGGAACTTTTTTCAGGCGATTGGATGACATTTATCAAGTGTCACTCGAACTCCATTGGGTTGGAAGCAGGTGGAAAAAACCACACACACTTTACTCGCTGCGTCTGGGTCGATTAAGTTACTCCTAGTGTCAGATCCCAGCTGATGCCTGTGGATCAAGTTACAAACTAAAACCAAGAAAGCATCACTGTGTGAGCTGGATATGATTATGACTGAATTCGGGCGGATTAACACGCTAATCGACCTAGGTTTGTTGCTAGACGACACGAAAACCATGAATATTCGCCAGCTTGCCTCCATTTTTCATCTTTTTTCCATAATTCTGATTATTTCACTCATGAAGAAGTACGTCCGCGGTGACCGAAATGTCGAGGACTAAACAGAGGTATATTAGTACCACGTTATTCTCTCATTCAACCAAAATACACATCCAGCACATAACGCAACCTTTTTAAATTCAAGTGCACCGAATTCGGTATGGATATTCTCACACATCGAGAACTTCTGGTTCAAGAACCTGGGTTCGAATTCATGCACTAGCAGCTTCGAACGACCATCCAATGCTCGCTTTCAAAATTGCGCACACATGTTTTCTCGTCAGTAAAAGAAGCAAGAGGATACCTGGATGCCTTAGTTAAGCTTCCACAAGAATAAGTGTAGCGGGTGTCCTTTAAGTAGCAAAGGTATTGGTCCTCAGCCTGAAATTAATCCCCTCAAGCTCATGCCGTTTACCTCATACGTGTCCAAGTAAGACCAAGTAAGACCTTCATAAGTTAAAACAGCGATCCTGACAGTTAGTGCAAATTTCCTCCACGAAAACGAGATTGGACGAAAGAAGCCGCCCTGTTTATAGAGAGAGACTTTGTTCAGAAAGACTACCTGGTATCCTGACCATAGGTACAAGATGCCGCGGTTTCCTTATTTATTCGTAGCGTGAGCACTTTTGCGTCAACAATCTAGCTAGCGCCTGAACAGGAACGGTTTTTCCAAGTAATCAAATAACCACATTGTGACTATGTGCTGAGAGAGAATGAGCAGGGATAACAGAATGTGCTTCTGGTAAATATATAAGGTGGAAATCTACCCTCTGGTATTCTGAGTACCATGATACAGACATTGTGCATTTGTTTTCGTTTGTATGATAGCTATTCACTAGATAGGTGCGGTGATGAGGTAGCTGGAAACTCTTCGACAGCTCATAGCTGGTTTTGATCCAGCTCATCAGATGGGCACAGTCCTCGAGTTTCTAATCCAGACTGAACACGGTTGGTACGCTATACGTATTTGCAAACTAATTTGGTATGAACGGTGTTTTATTTGGCTACTGTCCCCACCTCAGTACCTAGTACCGGGAAAAAGACTCGCCGACAAGGAGCACAACAGATTTATTGTGAACATGAGATTGAGTGCGGAAAGTACAATATCCTCGGGTTTTATTTATAGGGACACCATGTGGGTTCGATCCGAGGCTGTCTAATCAGCGTTTAGTGGAGTTTGAGGGTCTCCGTAGGTTTCGGGTATTCTGA